CAGAAGCATTGGCATCGTTTCTCTGTGTCTGGTCTGGGCAGATTTGCCCGTCTGATCTCTCGATTCCTGTAAGAACAAATGCGACAACAGTTCAGATTTTGACGTTTCTGCCGCTATATAAGAATGAAGTGTCTTGGAAAAGAGTTTCTGGCCTGAGAGTGAAAAGAAATAAAAAATTGGCGATACAACACTTGACTAGAGCAACACAATTTCTGCATCCTGAATCCACCCTATTTCTGGTAAAAAAAAAAACAACAACAAAAAAACACATACGAAAGCAGTTATGTTTTGTCAGCCAGGATGTATAAAATATGTCTGTGCAGGAAGGCAAAACTGTTCAAACCCCTGTGATGTTAACTTCCTAGCTGGTCCTTGTGCTGATAGGGCATACGGTACATAAATATTAGTAAATGACGATTCAGGATCACTTTTCTGTGCTAAGCCAGATTGCCATGGATCTTTCTACATGGCAAACTATTCTTCCAGCTATGCTACTCTTGATCATTTTAATACATTCACTTTTTTTGGGGGGGGGAGAGAGTAAAAAAAAAATCAGCATCTATGCTGTGCGGTATTCCATCCAGACATTCAGAAATGCAGTACCAAATGTTGCACCAGCAGGTGGCGATACTGTCTTCAAAATTCAATTGAAAACTGTTTAATGCATGACTAAAGCAGAGCACGGCTAAACATTCTCAGAAAACAGTCGTAGCTTCTGTTTTCTCTGAAACGGATGACGCCTTCCACTCACTTATTTTCCTCTTCAGATCATTTCAGACTTAATAGAAACAAAATGAGGGCAAAATGAGACGGGGCGTGGGGGCAAATTGCTCCGCTATGAGGATATGAGCGTCTACATAATTACGAATTATCTCTTGATAAACAGATTGCACGTAAGCCCCCTATACTTCATACTATTAGCACATTTAGATTTGAAGTAATCTTTTAATTTTAAGAACAAACAGTTTATGTTTTAAAGTGGCCCAACTTGAATTCAGTGGGTTAATTAGGGTGATGGCTAGGAGGGTTTCCAACCTTAAAGAAGTAGATCTCATTGCAAAATATGCATTATTACCAGTGAAAAAAAAATATTTCTAATGAGTATTTGATTGCGCTAATGTCAGTGAAGGTTTTCAATCGATTATTTAGAGTGTAAATAATTTTTAACATGTAATATTTTCATGCAATATAATGTTATTAAATAATTTAGAATGACGTTTTATTATTACATTTTAAAAAATACTATCTCTAATATAATTTTCTTATTATAAACACACTTCTTGGTCGAATGAAAAGTTTATTAATAATATTCAACAAAGATCTTGAATACAGCCTTCAATTCAAGCTAACTCATCAAAATGTGAGTTGAGTTTTATTCATAATTAATTCATGAGGAAAAAGTTGATGTCAGAGAGTGGCATTTAAACATTAAACAGTGTTACTTTGCTGTCTTCAGATGTCTTGAAATACATTTTGCATCATTCATTTTAGGTCCACTTGCATACAAAGAAAACATTTGATACTGGAAAATTGTTTGAATGGCAGAATGCAACTAATGCCTGATAAGAGCAGTAGGTTTCGTTATGTTAACATGATTTTATATTTGACTTGACAGATTACAGCTTGATTCAAATATTTTTCCCATTTATAATTTAACTGTTTTACTTACAGATCAAAGACTCATTCACAAAGCAAATTAAAGGGCAATTTCACTTGGTTGGCTAAAATTACTCAAGTTCAACAGTTTCTTTGGAATTTTTCTAAAGAGCTTTCATTTACCAGGTTCACACATATTGCTAAAAATAACCTGCATTTAGTTTAGGATCTTCCATTTCTTCTTTTTTAAGTCCAGTAGTTTGTAACAGAGAGTTGTTGCAAGTTAGTCCAGGTGCCACGAAAACAGCCAAACAATCCTTTAGTGCAGTTCAAAGTAATTTTGTTGTTTCATTACTTGAAGAATCTACAGGTCATAAGATAAAGTTAGTTCTTCTTAAATGTCCAGAAAATATAATACAAATAGGAGTCTGGAAAGTTGACGCATGCTGGGCTTGTTACGACCTCGCGATTATCCCCTCACAAACTGAATCGTGAAGTAAAAGCTGCTCAGATGGGAGTCTAGATTGATTTCCTTCACACTGACAGCAATATCTACAAAAATTAAAGGATCTCATAGAGACTTGCAACAAAATTCATGCAGGATTGTGTTATTTCATAAGGGTGTTGTAGCCTGGGCAGCCAAAGAGAAGGAGACTCACTTGAGTCAAAACGTGTAACTTCTAATTAGGTTTTAATGTCACATAATCTCTGCTTTATCTGCATCACTATTATAGTCTTGGGTTGTTGACTACTGTAAAATATCTTCCTTTTCTTCCAGATCGTCCCGGGCTAATGAACGTGAAGCAGGTGGAGCAAAGTCAGGACAGCATCCTTCAGGCCCTGGACCTCCACCTCCAAGCGAACCACTCTGATTCTCTCTACCTCTTCCCCAAGCTGCTTCAGAAGATGGCCGATCTTCGCCAGTTGGTCACGGAGAACGCTCAGCTCGTCCAAAAGATCAAAAAGACTGAGTCGGAGACCTCGCTCCACCCTCTACTACAGGAGATCTACAAAGACATGTATTAGAGAAATCTCCAGCACAGACTGATTTTGAAGCAATACTGTTACAAACAGAACCGTTCGGTTATCTAATAACACACTGCATTCAGTGAAAGCACTGTTTTCCATACGTTGGCATGGATTTGAACTCGCAGATGAAGCAGATTCACTTTGTTAGGGCTATCACAATCAGGAAAAGTCCCACAGTATCAGCATTGCTCTCCCCGTGCGATGAGCATCTGGAATCATTTGCTGCAAAGCCTTAGTTTCCCACAATGGCCACCTAACAGGAAGAGTGATATGTTTTCTTATAGAGGCTGCTCCTGTTTCATCCTCATAGCAAAGCTGACCCCGGAGCAGTGTTTTGAGAACGAGAGAGAGAACTTCTCCTCGCTCATCCATGCTTTGCGTTTCGCTGCAAAGGGAAAACATTTCATGCTCCTACGCCAGTGGTACAGTCGAAATGGAAGAGGGAGATCAGGGTTTTTTTCTTTTTAGAAAGAGTGATTGTACTTATTGTCAGAATTGTATTACAACCGAAGATGCACAAATTGGCATTTGTTTACAACATCACCATCATCATCATTAACCCTTCCACCTTGCCATTTGGTTTGAAGAACACAAACTGGGCTGGCTCCAGCAGTGTAGAGCTCTCTTAGTGTCTGTGCAATATCATTTCTGTTTGTCAATAAATGTGAAATCCAACTCATTTAGGTTTTGTCTTAAAAGCCATTGATCCAAGTGAAAGTAGATAGCTCAACTTAGATGACACTATAAACATGTGACTTGCAAAAGTACGAGGGACAGCAAGCTTTCTATCATTTGCGCGGGAAACTGAACTTGCCATTTTCTGGTTTTGTTAGCGCATTTCTCTGTGATTATGTTACAAATTATTTGTGTTTGTCGACGATATTGTTAGAGCAAATTATGAATTACGCCATTTCATGGATTTAAGTATATTTTGTATATCCATGCCTACCTGTTTAGATTAGGTTTTACCAAATATACCATCATGCAAACCAACAAACCTTTCTTGAACATGAACATGTTGAATTCCATGGCGCAGGAGGACTTTATAGGAAACCAGCATACAGAACCATTATATCGTGACTGGCAGATTCTGTCATAATTGAAAGTCTAAATCAGTTTCTGAATTTTTGTATTCAAGATATACACAACCCAAAAGTACTGTTTCACTTTTGTGTGTCTGATTTATGTTGCAGCTCAACAATTTTGACTTTTTTCTGCCAGTTCTGATTTACGCAGTCCACCTTTCAGTAGTCTCTTGTGCTTTTGTCTTTATCCCCATCTACCTCCAAATGTATGAATATTTCACTGTCTTATCGAATCTTGACATTTTTTTTTTTTTGCCTTAATCCCTATTACTAATGCACCTTGCAAAATTTTGTATCATCGGCTCACGTCAAGTGTGCTATGCAAAGCAAAGGATGTTGGTTGGGTCTATGCGTGTCACGGTAACTGGATTTTCTCACCAGAAAACAGTAATAGGGGGGTAAAAATGAGGAGTTATTTGACTTTTTGTTGTAAACTGCGAATTATTCAGCACAGCCAATTTTTGCTATCGTTGTGGTCAAAAAAAAAAAGATGGAAGTTTTTGTTATATTTAAGATGGCGAAATTGTTTTTAAAAATCTCTCATTTTCCTCAGCTTCCACATCTCAACATGTGCGAGAAATATGCGTCACTGCGTGACGTGACAACAGTTTTTTTTTAAACATGTATTCTCGTCCAAATCCTTCAAAATTTTATACATCGTTTCTTTTCATATGTTCGTGTCCATTCCTGTCTGCTTGTGGAACAATACCTGTGAGTTTTAAGATACAGCACCTCCCAAAATCACTGCAGCAGTCACACATTTAGGTGCCTGTTTGGGAAGTTTAAAACTTTTTTTTTTGTTTTGTTTTGTTTGTTTTTGACCACAAAAATAAATAAATTAATTGAAAAGCAGGCATATTTAAAAAATAAAAAATATAATATACACTTGCTCTTTTTTGGGGAGTTATTTGATTACTGGTTTCTAATAAGAAAATCCATTTACCGCAGAGATCTGATAAAGCAAGAAATTGCACCAAAAAGTGTAAACAAAAAAAAGCTACCTCTGTAAATGATGGGTTGAATAATTTGTTTGCAGAAGCATGTAGTAGAACTTGAAATATTTTCCTATTGTAACATGTATAACCTATATTCACTTTTTAGTTTAGTGATTTCTCACATATAAAATAGAAATGATAACGCTGAGTTTTCTCTGGTTCTTAACGGCGCATGTGCTCCCTTGGGAACTGTTATGATTGGCACATGCATCGGCCAATGAGGTGTTGCGCACATTACGTAGAACCGCCCAGTTCAAGTTCCCATTGGTCGGTTGCCACGGCAATTAGTAGGGCAAAACAGCTGTTAGCTATTTAGAGAGAAAGAAGGAGGGTGTCTCGGTTGGCGGCTAGCTTAAAAAAAAAAAAGGCAGAAAAACGCGTTCACAAGATGGACTCGGTTCGTAGTGGAAACATTTGTAGGTAAGCAGATTAAAGGCTAATTTGCACTTTAGAAGTGGCTGTATTTGCACAGACAGTCGGTACTACGGTAAGCATACTGTCGGTAACAACTTTCACCGAACATTCAGCTCCAAACTGAGTGACATTAAAAATTGTTTGAAGGTCTCTTGCTACCCTGTCCTTACATTGAGACCATTTTCCTTATGTATATATATCAAACCGTTAAAACGTTTTATCTTTGCTGGCCGTTATTGTTTCCATGACGCCGATATTCTGTCCCTGCAAGCGTCGAATGTTTAGGTTTAAAATTAGATCAATTACCGGCGGAAATGCTTAATTGGGTTAATGAACTTTTTTTTTTTTTCTTTTTTGTGGGTACGTTCATTTCAAACTATGCGCCAATTAAAACCTAATTCTAAACGACTTCTTTCAGGAAGTGAATAACAAAAGGCAACATGGCTGCTGACGGGGAACATGTTTTGGTGTGTAAAAGTATTTGCGGAACTACGTGTTGCTTCAAAAACACAGTTTTATGGTCAAGACTGCGTACGTCAGGAGGACGTTAAATATTGAATGTTTTGGAGATGAAGGCCAGACTGAGAGTTTGGGCAAGTTCAGAGGAGACCTGATTATATCTGAAGGTTTTAACCTCCAGGCAGGAGGCTCAGAGGAAGCCCAAAAAGGAGACTTATTGACGTGTTGAAAGAGGCCGTAAAGTTTGTTGTTGGGGTGCACTAATTACTTTAAATTGAGAGGCACAACACACCTTTCAGTTTCTGCAGCCCGTTTGTGACCAGATGTTCTACAAATTGAGTTTTTGACCTTAACTTGGGTAATGTCAGAGGTTACCACAGTCTTTTTACCAAATAAGGTAAAAAGATAAAATGCATGATAAGAAATTTGTTAATAAAACTGAGGAGATTTCAGAGGAAAACATCTGCACATCACGAATCGATGAATGGGATATAAGGGACTTTAGATCCAAAACTCTTGTGTGTCTTACTGTAGTTTTTGTTGCTGGTTGGGGAAAATGGAAAAAGAAGTTTCTGTTTACTTTGAGATTAGGAAATGAAGTCAGTTCTGATAAACCATCATATTTCGACATTACTCTGGCAATTTTATGTAGCCAACTCATGCATTTATAACTTGTGGTTATAAATGTCAAATTAACTGTTTTCTTTTTACTTCAGAGTTATATTTGATCACACATTTCCCTTATATCTTAGTTCCTCAAACTGTAAATGGCTGCTATATTTATTTTTTTTATTTTGCACAGGCGCTTCATAAATGGCTCTTGCAGATTTGGCCGAAGATGCAAGTACAGACATGAGTTCACCCCTATACCTGCATCTCAAATATGTCGATACTTTCAGAAAGGTGGCTGCTGGTATGGTGAACGATGCAGGTAACCTCCACCCACCATACTCGCACACGTTAGACTTTACATGTTTTTATTTTGTCTGAACTTTTAAAGGACTATGAAACTCATCTATCTCCTGCCTCTAGGTTCTTTCATGTCCTTCTGCCTCAAGTTGGACCAGTATTTCCAGGTAGAAGGGGTTCTGCGCCTGTAGCCTCCCCCTCTGGTATGCCCCACTACTCTGAAAGAAGAGTGTCAGAACCAACTCTTTGGCGTGTTAATGTTCCATCCAGGCAGAGATGCAGTGGATCACAGTCAGCAATTTATCCCTTTAATCTTCAGCAAGAAACTGGGAATCTGCCTGAATATGTTTTGGAGGAACTGTCACAAGGTATAGGAGCTTTATACAAGAAACTGAGTCATTGGTTAACATTTTAATAATCTTCCCTAATTTTGCTTGGCAGAAAATTATTTGGAATCAGCCCCAAGTTCAGGTATTGCTCAAGCAAGTGCATGGCAAGGAAGATATGAGGTTGGTATTGGATTTGATGGCTTAATTGTAAATGGGGATCCTTCTCTATACCACGAATCTAAGAAGCTCAATTGGCGGTGACTATTTTTCTGTTTGTTTATATAGAGAGCCTCTAAATCTGAGATGTGTGAAGATGGAGCTGCAGCAGCTTGCAATGAAAAAAGTGAAGAAACTTTGGCTTTCCTGCAGAGCAAAAATGTGGTCTGTGGGATCTGTATGGACAAAGTCTATGAAAAGGAGAATCAGAGAGACCGGGTCTTTGGGATCTTGCCAAACTGCAATCATCCCTTTTGTTTAGACTGCATCGCGACCTGGAGGAAAACAAAAGACATCGGACTTGACGTCGTAAGGTAGGTCTTTATTATGACAGCAAGTTAAAGTTGCATTCACAAGCGTTTTGACCTCTGTGTATTTGCAGGGCTTGTCCTCAGTGTCGAGTCAGGTCTGCTTTTTATGTGCCAAATAAATACTGGGTGGAAGGTCAAGAAAAGGAAAATGTAATTGGTGCTTTCAAGAAAAAATTTGGGTAAGATGCTGTTTTGATTGCCCTCAAAGTAATTAACCAGTTTACACAACTGGATTGTAACTTTTTGACCAGCTTTAAGTGTATATATAAGCTTATAGTCGTTTCAGTTGCTGCCTATAAATCCTGATAATGAGCCTATTGTACTTTTAATTTCCGTTTTACCTTCTTGATGGTATTTCTCCAGATGGATTTAAAAATGAATACCAGGTACCATAGTTGTATTTTAAATGTTTGAAAATGGGGTGCATTTGGAAACATAAAGTACCTGTGTATTATACCTGGACTTATAAATTGAGCTTTATTTATTTATTTTGTTTAGTCAATGAAAATGGTAACTGATCAGTCCGATTAACATGTTGAAGCTAGTGACTGTTGCATTTCTTTCCAGTAAGAAGAGATGCTGCTTCTATGACAGATATGGATGCTGTCCCTTCAAAAAGGAGTGTCTCTATCGGCATGTTGGAGATTCTTCTAACAGTCCAGTGTTTTCAGTAAGAGCACAATGCTTTAATATACTTTAGGTAACGGGTGTCAAACGCCAGTCCTGGAGGGCCACTGTCCCGCAACTTTTAGATGTACCTCTGCTGCACCACATCTGAATAGAATAATTAGGTCATTAGCAAGGCTCTAGAGAACTTATCCACACAAGGGGGTAATTAAGCCATTTCATTCCAGTGTTTTGTAGCTGTGGCCCTTGAGGACTGGAGTTTGGCACCCCTGCTTTAGGTGCTTTCCATGGTTGTGTATTCATGTTCCTCCTTTGCCTCCTCACAGTACTTCGCAGAGGAAGAGGATGACAGTTTTACTGATCTGCTTGGCTTTTTCATAAGCATGAGCCTTCTTGGTGGTGAAGAAGCGGATGAAGAACTTCTCTTTTGCCTCACTGAAGATTATGGGTTTTAAGCATTTCTTTTTTTCTTGGTAGTCTAAAATACAAAGTCAATCCACCTTTGACCACGGCCTCTGTTGTAGTCTGTACTAAGCCAGCTTTGGAGTAGCCTTCTGTCAGGATTGGATATAAAGGCTGTGAATCTGTGACTTGACATGATCACAGAAACAAAGTTATTTAGGATTTTGAAATAAATGGAGGGGGAAAATATCAGCAATAACTGTATTGGTGTAAGCACATGTAGAGTCTGATGTGGGTCTAAGAATAATTGAAAGTGTCTTTAGTTTTTTTTTGTTTTTTTCTTGATCTTGTTGACATTGGTTTTGGGTTCAAGATTCTTTTTTTTTTTTTTTTTTTTTTACCCTGTCAAAGCTTTGATTCGTGTGCTTGTTCAGCCTTCCCCCCTTCCCTAACCTCAGCCTCTTTTCCTTAACTTCTCCCCAACAATTTAAATTTGTTCCACTCACTGAAGGCAGTCTTATTTTAAAACATTGTGTGGTTGGTTTTAATTGTTGTAGTAAAATTTGTGCCAATATACATACATCTTCAATTGTGGTGCCAACCTCAAGACGTGTTTCCTAGTTTTTCGCAAGAACATAACATGTTTGGCTTTTATTACTTTTAAAAAAAAATGTACACTGAAAATAAAAAATTCTCACCTGTCTCACTGAAAATGTGCCTCGTTGTTTTTAAGTCACCAGTAATTAGCGGAGCTTCCGATTTACTGCATGACTGGCAGTTCAGTTCAGACTCTAACGCTCGGATATGAACCTTTATTGACTTGTCACCTCAGCAGCAAAAGACAAATGTCGTTATGTTCTCCCTACCAATGTGAATGTGATCAACGGTAAACTTCACAACGAACCTACACAACTAGCTTCGGAGTGTTTTTTAACAGTTTCGGATGAAAAAAAAGTCAACGAACATAAATGAAAATGCAGTTAAACGGAAAAGTAAAGACAAAAACTAAAAACGTAAAGCTGGAAGATGCGAGCGTCCATCCCGCTACCTTAAGCATGCTATGCTAAGCGAGCGCGCTACCGTTTGAACTAATCTCCCATGATGCATTGCGGTCAGTGTCATTTTTTTGGTCAGTGACTCCTATCATGTTTGAACCTTTTAAACTTTAATACAGTTTTAAAGGTTGAAAACTTGCCCTGAACACAGAGGCTACAACCTGCATGTAGTCCTCAGTTCTTCTCTTTCATGTCTTTATTCTAATTATCCAAATTAATCATCATTCTCATTCTTTGTTTTTCTTTGACTTCTTAAATCCGAGAAATTTTTTTTAGTCTTTTCCAAATTGTTTTTTTGGGTTTCTTTTGACCGTCCTGAAGGTCCAAATCCTGGATCTCGGTTTCTTCTTGGAACGCTATTTCTTCAATGGCTCCAGGATCCTTAGAGCAACCTGGTTCTGGTTCTGGTTGTCCAGGTTGTTCCTCCCCTGAATCCATCTCATCTCACTAATTGGGTCGGCATGGCCGACTGACTTTTCCACCTCTTGTTCTTGTTGAGGACTCGCCGTGTTGGATGATGGTAAATCGTTTGTGGTTTCCCAGATATTTTCTGCAGAATTACTTTGGTTTTGATCTGCTGCCTTTTTCAGTGAAGTTACATCACTTTCGTATCTAATGTTCAGATCTTTATGCAAAATGTTGACTTTATTTAATTCTCCAAGGGCATTGCTCAGTTTCTCCTGCAGGCACTTAATCTCACTTTTCCATGTTTCCTGCATGATGGTTTTTTCCAATTTCAAGTTGTCCATAAGGTTCATTTCCTCCTATGCCTTCTCCAGGTAAAATCTTCTCTCTTCAGTCATTTGCTGCTTCAGGATCTCAGCACTTTCTCTCTGAGCTTTAAGTTCATCAATGAGCTCCTGATTTTTCCCGAGTTTTTCTAAATTATCCTCTTTTTCCTGACTGAGCTCTTGTCGGCATCGCTCCAGGTCAAGTTTCAGCCCAGCGATCTCTCTTTCGTGGGTCAACGTCAGATCGTCATATGATTTTTTTTGGATTCATCTAATTCTCTCCGTAACAGCTGTTCTGACTCTAGCAGCGACTCAATTTCCGCTGTCATTTCTTTCCACATTGTTTCCTTCTCGGTTTTCATATCATCCAGTAGTCGTTGTTCCTCCCTGATCTTTTCGTCATAAAATGTTTGTGTTTTGGCCTGTTGCCTCATCTGTGTCACGTCTGCATTATATTTTGTATTGAGCTCCTGGTATGAAGTCTGGAGTTCCTTGATTTCTTCTTCCAGGGCCTTACTCTTTTCTTTCTCGGCATGCAGTTCTTCCACAAAAGCTTCCACGGTGTGGAAGCAGGACACCCTTACGTCTTCATACTGCTGCAGTAATTCCTCCTTCTCCATATCTTTTACTTCGAAGTGAGCCTGAGAAGCAATCACTATAACTTTTAGGACATCCGGGTCACTGAATTTCTGCAGCCTTTCCAGTTCTGCTTTGGCTTTGCAGGCTTGATCAAAATATCCAACTTTTAGCTCTTCTTGTTTTTTCAGCTGGAACTCCATTTCTTGGAGCTCTTCCTCAATTTTTTCTTTCATTGCATGCCTTTTGGCCGTTTCCTTCTTCAAAAGGGCATTCAGTCGTCGGATTTTCTCTTGCAAGTCATCGGGTTTGCAGTAGGGCACGTGCCTTGGGGGTATTCCTGGTTTCCCCTCCTTGTATTGGATCACATCATTCCACTAGTTGATCATTCAGTGTGCTGAGACATTTTCCCCAAACTAAAATCGTTGATCAGTAAAGTACTGTAAAGAGCTTTTCGAGCGTCTGAAGAAGCAGGTAAATGGTGGTGAAACCAAAAACAACTCTAATCAAAATCAAAATTCTTTTTTTTTTCCACCTAAAAAGGAACGATCTAGAAATTATGCAGGAAGAATATGAATGTGAATTTAAAGAAATACAGATTAAAAAAATTGTAGTCATCCCAATTCACTTAAAACGATTTAACGGTTCAAATTAAATGTTTATTTCAATCAGTTATTGTTTTCACAATTTGTAGATTTACGTCACGATTCAGCATCTGAATGGAGGTAGAATTCTACTCCAGGACGGTAGATGGCGCTATGTAATCGTACAAATATGTAAACAAACAGTCGAGTTCTCATGGCGGGGAGACGGCGTTTCTGTGGACAAGGGTTGTCCATTCAAGCTCCAAGCTGTGTGAACACCAGTGCGCTGCTGGGCCGGTTTGACGGACAGTCCAGGCTGCTGCTGACGACATTGATGTCCGGAGTTTCCGGGGCCAAAGCCGCGCTGGCCGTCTTCCAGAGACAGCGGCGGGCAAACTCGGAGTCCGCCCTGACCAACTTCATCCTGACTCTATGCAGAGACGAAATTGCCTCATCGGCTGAAGCTCTGACGCTGTCAGTGTAAGTACGCGGCACCGCTCCCTACAAACTCAAAAAGATTCAGCGTTACATGTGTTTTTGTCGTTCGTGTCGGTCCTGCTGGTGACATTTGTGCAGGTTTTTGTGGAAGCTGAAGCCAGACATAATTTCAGACGATCCCTGTCTGCTCCAAGTTGTCTAAAAAAAGTCAAAATTGCTGGCAGAAATATTTTAGAAGACTGGAGCTCTAATGGCAATGAAATATTCTTCTGCTTTACTTTGGCCTGTATCAGGGATATTTAATCTTTAAAATGACAAAGAACCTCTTTCCCCCTTAGTCCAGCGAAATAAAAGTAGATCTTCATTCTACTATTTGTGTCATCTTTTTTGGAAAAATCTAAATAGAAAATCCTAGAGGTGGAAAAAGAAATGGCCACATTTTAAAAAAATCTTTAAAAACCAAAGTTTTGTCAAAAGTCAGAAGTAAGCTGCAGAAGTGTGGTTGTATTCTGACAGATGAAAATGTTTCAAGGATTATGAATACTTTTGCAGTACAGAACAGAACAATGTGCTTAATTCAAGAATAAATAAAAATTAACCTATTTCTACAGGTTGCAGCTTTGGAACGTGATTTAGAGCTGCGACCCTGCCACAACTTGTATTCTTGTTTCATTCTGTTTTGTTATAAAGTACTATAAATATACAGAAAACTAATTGCCTCCCAACTCAAAAAGGAAAGGTTCCACGTGGGTTAGTCACAATTAACATCGTAATGCGTGTCCAAGATATGCTTTCCTCAGATTTTGCAACCGTAATTAAAACGTCTCTTAAACCCCACTGCTCTAGTAATTCATGTATATTTTCCATTTCTGTTTTCAAAATCTTTTCTAGCAAACCACTCGTCTGCCTGTTCCCACCAGTGTTTAAACAAAACCTGCTGATCTTCCTCTACTTGGTGAACGCTGCTATTCCTGGGCCCACCATCCTGCTGCTGCTCAGATGTCTTGCTCAGGACTCCAATCCAACCTCCTGGGTGAGAGCTCTGAGCAGACAGCTGGAGAGGAAACTGGAGATCAACTTCAAGGATCCTCTGTACTCTGAACAATGCAGGCAGAAATTGAAGCAGCTATCGGAGAATTTGGGAGGTTCTAGTAAGGCTGGAGGTTGGGCCGAATGCTTCAACAGTCAAAAAGAGGAATCTGAATCCTATTGTATACCTGATTTGCTCGAGCATGGGACACAGCGGAAAAGACGGGCCAGTTTTGATGCGGACGTGGATGCAGATGGAGAGGAAGCAGTGCAGGAGAGTAAAAGGTTGAAGATGGACATGCATGTTGAGGAGCCAGTAGATGCAGAAGACGAAGAAGTGAGGATGAACACACCAGGAGGATCTGCAAGTGCTGCTGAAACACCTGCAGGCAGACCCCATGATGGTCTACCTGAACACATCAGGGTAAACATTTTTCTTCAGTTTGCATTGTTGAAATAATATTCACGATCTATTTAAAGAAACCAGACCAAATCAAATTCAGTTGCCTGTTTTTCTGCTCACATAGGGCTCTGTTCTTCACATGAAAGAATTACTGGAAAGTCAGGCTGAGGTAAGAACAAGATTGTTTCCCCTCATGCAGTTGATTTAAATTTAATTCAGCTTTAAGTATTTTGTGTATTTTCTGTTTCAGTGGGACCAGAGCGCCACAGATGTGTTCAAAGTGTTAAA